GTTTACGTGTCTATCAGAGAGTAACGATGCTTGTGGCAGTAGATTTTTTTTCTCGGCTTCCCCAACCGCACCAACCCTTGTTATCCTCAGCATTTGGTAAGAGGCTTCGTTTTCATCGTTTTCTTTAATTTCGTTTTGCAGTGGCCTTTAGGTAGTTTGTCTGTATTGTAACTATTATTTTTTCGCTCTTTGTAGGAATTTACTTTTTTTATGGTACATTAAACATTTGCTGAGACGTCGTGATCGTGTTGTGCTTCCTCGAATTGGCCCTTGCCTGTTCACTAAGCCCTATGATATTTTTTAGGCACGACCTGTCTACCTTCACAGGTTCTTTGCTTTTAAGCGAATTCGAATGTCCACGCACTATTTTAATTTTAAAAAAACAACAGCAACAACAACACATTTTTATTTTTATAAAAAAAGAATTGAAAAAAAATTGTTACCCGCGACCCTCGACAAGGAACCCTCGACCCTCGACAAAAAGATAGACCTACCAAATCTTTTTCTCGAGGGTCGAGGGTCGACGGTTCCATGTCTAGGGTCGAATTGAATAATCACTAACTAAAACATATTGAAAATAAATTACGTTGCGACACGTTGGCTGTAAAATGGCTGAGGCGAGGTGTCGAAAGGATAGTCCCTGGTCTTGGTTTGTTTGTTTCGCTGCGTTTGTAATTATGACGCTGAACAATGGAAGCTACTATAGCTTTGGACTGTTCTTGCCTTCTCTGCTGGGACATTTCAGGCAGCGCATTGCGATAACTGGTAAATCTTTTGTTGAGCTCTATATACATAACTTAACCGACAAAAGCTCGTTTAATAAGTAGGCCTAGGAATATGTAATCTAGGAAAACGGGAATCTCAGTACGAGCATAAAACAGCACATTCCTCGTATCAATCTAAACAATCATTTCGATTGCACAAAACCTTAAAAAGACTCTAAAAATTCCCAAAATGTTTCACTGATGTGAAAAATCATCGTTGCGTGTTAAAACACGCAAAACAATCTCGATTTTCAAATGATCAAAATGTTTATCTCGGCATGCGGCGGCTCACAAGGAAAAGAAAAGAAAAAGTTCAACTTCAAAGTTATTTACATATTTGCTGTGGCTTATACCGGAAAGCCGAAAGGGTCTCAAGAACGATTACGTAACGAATTTATAGTTCTCTGAGGTTTGAGGCTTGCCTGACGACACAAAGAAGGGCTGTGTAGCCGGACCCGGGAGCCGGTAGTCTGCTACACCGTAGACTGCTTGCAGTCCCCCTTTTCTCTTAAAATCCGTCTAGTTCTTGATCTCATCCAGCGCGATTGCAAACAACGATGTTATTATATAGGGATCGAGACGAGACGAGAGAATTTATATTTTTCCCTCTCGATCGGGCTTACAGTCGGGCTCACTTGTATGCCCTCGTTTCTCGCGGATCGCGTGATTAGGTTTTGCGAGCAGTAATGCAAAGAAAAACAAGAATCGCCGAAAGGCGATTTTTAACTGGGCTGCCAAGGGGCTATTTTTTCTGAGGGGAGGGCGCGGCTATACACACTCAGGCTACTACAAAACCTTTTCGCCGACCATTGCGTGAGATAGAATCTCATGTGAGACTGAAACATAAACTCATTCAGAACATGCATTGTACCCTTTTGAAAGACTTTCGGTAACAAAAAATGAGTACCATTTTTAAGTGGGGGCTGTATAATAACTTTCAAATTCCGCCATTATGAATAAAAATAAACAAGTTAGTCATTAATTCTGAGCAGGAAACGATTTGCATTATTTTCACTCACCCCTCCCCGAAGCTCTTTCTCCCAAAATATAGCGTGACAGTATAACGTGACTAATTTGACGTAACTGGAAATTCCCAAAATAATTGTCGTTCTACGAGAATAAAATGCGACAAGGTCAGCTACACGCCACTGGGCTAATTTACACTAGACAGAAATATTGTATTGGATGAAACCCAGAAGTTTACTAAAACAGACAGCCAACTGCCCACTGATCCCGATCCAGGGACCTCACTGACTGCACTGAGACTTTAAATAGACGATCCTAATTTGCGGTCTACAGTCTACATGAAAACGCACTATTTTTTCCACAAGATAAAAAATATTCAGTTTAAAGATTTTCCTCTTGGTATTTTTCTCTAACTTAAAGGAATAACATCTTTTGCATTTTGTGACCTAAAAAAACTTTTAAAGATTTCTCGCTCGCATGTTGCTTTCATAAGCACCCACTTTAAACAATGTAAATGGATGAAAATTTTTTACCTGATACCGATATGAGTTAAAAATTCGCTCGAGTTCGCTGTTTGTCTCACGACACCCATGACTAACTTTTCTTCATGGCAGATAACTATGCCGCTTTATAACTCCTCCGAAGTTTTTGTGCCAGCGCTGCTAAACGATATGGAAACACTATTCACAGTCCTTGGATATTAAAAAGACTGAATGAACGTAACGCACAATGTGCCCTTGTTTATCTCTGATCACATCTCCAAGCGAACTCTCTCTTTTCAAGCAAGTGATTCATTTCAATGCACAATAATTGACCCTTATAGTAATTAAACCCTATGGTTCATTCATATTAAAACTGTTTTTGCCCCTCACATTTACTGTGTTCGTTAGTATTCAAAACACCTTTAGGAAAATAAAGGTCGTGTAAGTCATGTGTATTATGTTTCCATTTTGCCGTGACTTCAGTTTACATCTCCATAAAATGGTACAAGAAACATTACGCAAGCTGAAAATTTACAAAGGCGTGTTTTTTGAAACTTGCTAATGCTGACATCAATACATCTAATATATCGTGCTTGCTGAATGGACGAAAACACATCGGACCCGAAGAGACGCAAAAGCTATACCCTTTTTTTTTTGGGGGGGCACACATACCTATATGGCTTATATAAGGGGGCACCCTCGGCCGTTAATCTGTCTTCATTAGTGAATGAGTTGGCATTGATAAACCTGCCAATTTACTGCAGCTGATTACACCACACGAAAAAACATAGTTTTCTTCACCGTCCTAGTTATGCTTAGCTACATAATTAGTTCCTGAAATATGGCCTAAAATTCTTTCCGGAATTTCCCGAAAAAAAACTCTAAAATTGTTTTAGAAACGTTTAAAATTCTCCAAAAACTCTCCAAAATCCCCGAAAATTCTTATTTTGGTGAATAACCGCTGATAAGTTATAGTGTAGATGATTCTGATGAAAAGAAACCGCTAATTTCTTGTGTTTACTGGACAGTACTCTAGACACTGCTCTACATGTGAGCGGACTGAGCCCTCTCTTGGTCGGTAGGACTACAAAATTCCGGAATTATGTAGCTAAGCCTAATCCAAGTCAAAGAACCTAGTCCGCAATGTGTCACCTCTGTTGCACAAATCTAATTTTCATAACTTCACACGAGCCTTGTTTCCGCTCAAAGTATAATGTCCTGAATACAGTGTGCCCCAATTCAGTAAAAGAGTGGACGAAGAATTCGAAGATTTGGAGGCTTGACAAGGTGGTACAGCTGTACCTGGCGATAGTGACTGAGTGGGACTATTTGTAGCACCGTGGTTGCAATTTTTTCCCAAAACTTTACCTCCTCGGGGAGGTTTTTGTTTGACCATTTCCAATTTTTCCAAGCCTAAAGAGACGTTCGTTCTCAGTTAAGACTTGATACCCGGCAGTCATGAAAATGTTAACAATTTCTTCGAAAAGTCTTGTTCCTACCACTATGAAAGAATTTATCTTCGTTTAGAATTTGTAATAAGGACAACTGAAGTGTTCGTGGCTTCGCAGCCGAACACACAATAAACTGAATACTCGTCACATAGTGAAACACTTGTAACGTTACGCCCTCTTCCTAATGTTGATTCACGTTTTTTCCAATAATAATAATAATAATAATAATGATGATGATGATGAGGTAGCACATCCACAAAGTGGATCTTCGTCTACCCGATTCCTGATCGAATTGGAATTTGGAAATGTTGGGTTTTGAGGAGACGGGAAAACCGGAGTACCCGGAGAAAAACCTCTCGGAGCAAAGGAGAGAACCAACAACAAACTCAACCCACATAAGGCGTCGACGCCGGGATTTGACCCCGGACCACATTGGTGGGAGGCGAGCGCTCTCACCATGCACTGCGCCATCCCTTGCTCCCATTGGTAGTCTTTGAGAGTAAAAAGTTGGTTGAGAAGGGGTTACATGAAAAATCCTCAGTTTCAGTCGCGTAAAAAAACTGACGATTATATATATTTCGAAGTATTGTATAGCTTTGCTTGCATGGGCACCGTCAGGAACTGAATCACCACGAGTTTTACACTGAAATATTTAGTGAGGAGCCTGTCTGACCGTCGAGCACGTTTTGAACAAGCTAAATGCCGGAAAGCAACCTCCTCTTTAGCGTCTGGATGTATACTTTCTGTGATTAGATTTTTCAAACGTTTTCAAAAATAATACATTGCACTGTAGAGAATCACAGTCTCGACACGGCGTTATTGTGCCTTGATTTACGGGTAAGAGTTCCTCTACTTTTGCAAAATGTCTCAGAATCCACCAGAAAGAATTCTTTCTTCGTCTGGAATAGTTTTAGCGATTTAAAAAGATGAGTATCTTTTAGATTATCTTAAGATTGAGCACAATAAAGTACGGTGGAGCCTCGATATAACGAAGTGACAAGGCCTGGGAAAATGTTTTCGCTATAACAAGCGAACTTCGTTATATAGAGAGGTTCGTTATATCGAGTTTCCACTTTATTAGCCGGTTTAAAGTCTATCCTTTATTGTGGTTTAACATTGTTGAAATAATCATGTCAGGGCACTGATTTTACTTCTATTCTGAAATTTCAGCTTGGATTGGTTCGCTCTACATTGCAAACTCCTATATTTTTGGATCACTGGCAACTCGCCTGATTAAACGTTTCGGATTTAGAATCACAGCCATAACTGGGTGTCTAATAATCTCCATCGGCTTTTGCGCAAGCTCGTTTACAGACAATTTTTGGCTTTTCTTTTTTATGTTCTCGGTAATTGGAGGATTGGGTTCAGCAATTTCCTACCACTGCAGTGTTTTAGTTGTTCTGAATCACTTTGAGAAGTGGCTTTCTCTTGCGGTTGGAATAACAGCCTCGTCATCAAGTGTTGGCATGTTCATCGTGACACAAATCACCAAGGCTCTTCTTTCAAATTATGAATTTAAAAATGCCCTTAGAGGATGGGCAATATTGTTTTTCTTGGCAACCCCACTGGCGTGTTCTTACGACTCTAGATCGAATGCTACCGTAGGTACTATCGAAAGAAACGAAGAAGAATCTGAGCAGAATGTTGAGGTCATTCCTCCACCAAGCATTTTGCGTAATGGACCTTTTATCATTTATCTTGTCTCCGTTACCTTGGTGTTCTTTGTGGTATATACGCTGTCATTTTTCCTGGTGAGATTTTACAGCAGAATTTACGGAAAACTTGTGAAAAAGGGACCTGCTATCCACTTTATTGTACTTTTGTGTCTCGGCACCGACACCGAGCCCGTATTCTTAGTTGAGTACTTGAAGAAAGTTTGTGTTTGCATTAGCGCCAAGTGAGAACCGTACTTGGGCATCGTTCCCGGGCACCAAGTGTGCACAAAGCCATACACGGACCCTTAGGCATCGTTCACACTTGGTGCCCGGGCACCGTGCCCGAGTACTGTACTTGCCGAGCATGAATGTGAACACCCCCTTTTCTCAAGTATCCTCGCTAGAATTCGGGCACGATGCCGATACCTGAGTACAAGGTCGAGGCCTTGCGCTGGGGCACAGCAGTTGGCAGCGGGTTCCTGTGTGCACACCAGTTTTGTTAGTTCTTGGGCAGTCCACTACTTTGTACTCACTGCTAAGCTCATGTTTCAAAATAGCATCTGACAGGGTGAAATGGATTAACTATATATGAACACATTCCACATACAGGGTGGTCAAGATGTGAACACAGCATCATTCAGTTTGTGCCAGTACCCAGGCACTGGTTTTTGGGTAGCAAGTGTGGACAGCAACTTAGTGTGTCACTCTTAAAGAAACGTTACGGTAGTCTTTCAGTGGAGAGTTTTTAAGTTGAAATAACATATTTTGCATTTTTGAAGTGGTCAGTGGATAGAGTGCATGCAAGAAATTATTTGTTGGTCTTTTTCTAACTTTTCGTGTTGCCGAAATTTCGCCAATGCGAATTTTTTGCCCTGGCAAAATTTCGCCGGTGCGCATTTTCGCTGAAGCGAAATATCAGCAAAACGAAATTACGCTTCTGTGGATGCGTAATTCCGCCGAGATGGCAGCGAAATTTTGTTTGGTTCAACGAAAGTTTGCGGGTGCCTCAACGAAACTTCGCAGAGAACTTTCGTCGAGTACAAAGGACGAAATGCGTCGAATTTCTCCTTGATTTCTTTCGCGCAGTGCTGTATGCTCTATACCTCCAAGTCTACTTCTGATCTGTGTTATTACCCATTTCTGACATATTTGGATGTTTCCGTCTTTTTTTGTAGGTGAAATTTTGTGAAAGTGAACTTGGCATTTCCACGGAACGAGCCTCCATGTTATACATCTACACGGCGATTGCTTTTTTCTTTAGCAACCACTTGTTCTGCAAGCTAAGTGAATTCAAATTCCTCAACATCTTTGATCTTTATCAGTTTTCAACGACATGTCTTGGCATCTGCCTGCTTCTGTTACCCGTGGCAACATCTTACAGAGCTGTGGTGGTGTTGGCTGTTATGTTTGGTCTCATGGATGGTGGACGATACGGTTTAATGCCACTGATAGTGTTAACATGTGTCGGACAGAAGAGAACTAACCAAGCTTGGGGTTATGTCGCATTCTCTGTGGGCCTTTCTAGTGCCGTGGGTCCAGTTTTTATTGGTAAGTTATAG